CTGTGAACATCGTATCTAAATTTTAGATGGTATTATGATGGTCTACAAAGCAGCACATTGTACTTTGTAATGCATGCCCACAGATATGGACTTATATCTTGTCAGCCAGCCACCCTTGTCTTTCCTACCCCTGACAAGCAGAGACTCTCATATATTTGTGCATGGATCCTTAACAGAGTTCTTATAGTCAAATAGGGGGTCCAGACAGCTCACTCAAAAGTGTTCTTGCCTCAGAGGTGGCATTAAGAGGGAATGTCAAGAAGCAGTTTCAGGAGGGGTGGGGCATTTGGGGTGCGAGATGGTATCCGTGGCAGCAGTGTGGCATCTGGCTGGTCAGTGACTGGCTGTAGAAGATGCCAGGCCTTCCAATGTGCCTGCAGCTATCTGAATGAGAAGGTTTTGATCAGCAGGATATAGAAGGGAGAATGAGATCTTCTAGATGGAATACTAGGTTGGGAGGCAAGGACTATAAGAAGTAGAGGCCACTGGAGTCAAGAGATGTTAGTTGCCAGTAGGAGTGAGGCAGGGATCCTGGGTATTTTGGTGGCCTAGAGATGGGGAAGGTGTAAGCCCTTGAGTGGATTCAGGTGTATCAGGTGTGCCTCCAGCTGGCGAGTGCAGAGTAGACATGAGGACACAGACCCTGATAATTGGCAAATAGTATTCCTTCATCTTCTTCTCTGGTGTTGTCTTCTTTCTCGACCTCTTTCTGTATTTCTTTTAATCCCTTTCTGATGTAGTCTTTTTCTCTCAGATTCCCTCTGGGAAGCAATGTGATGGAATGACTCACAACTGTTTGGGACAGTATCCTGATCACTTACAGCTATGAGACTGTGGCGGATTACTTACCTTTTGAGCCTTGATCTTCTCATCTCTAAAATGGAGACAGTGAAAGTAGCTTTCTCACTGGGTTGGGAAGATTGAATAAGATAATGTATATAAACAAACTGGCCAAAGCCAATGATCAGGGGTCTGTCTGGCTGCCTCTCTCTTGGTCTCCCTGGTTCTTTTCCAGAGGTGTTAGTTCTTATCCATTGTTCCTTTGTTCTAGAGCACTTTTCTCTCAACCAGATGTAATGTGGTATTTTTGTTGTTTTCATTGAAAACAAAGTCCATGTCCTCTATTTTTGATGTACAAAGTGGGTGAGTGCAGTTATCTCCCATTGCTGTCAATGTGGTAGATCACTGAAATGACAGTGGGGGGTTCTTGCCTCCTTTCCCCTCCAATATCAGAAGCTCCAAAGACCTTGAGCAATTCCTTTAACTCCTCTGGGCCTCAGGGTCCTTATCTATAAATGTAAGGGCCTGAATTAAGTGGATCGTGAGGCCCCAGTCCAACTCTTAATTACACCTGTGGGAAGACGCTGAAAATCAGACCTCTCACTAAATTATGCATGCCCTGAAGAAAGGACTGCCATGTCTGTTTTGTTTACCATCATATCCCCAACACCTTCAGGATGCCTGACCCATGGAAGATGTTCGATGAATGAATGATTGGATGAATGAATGAAAAATTTTTACAACTAGGAAGGCGGCCCACGTTTGCCAGGAATTGTTCTCAGGGCACTGTTGGCTTTATGGGCCCATCTTCTATAACTGAGCTTAAACTCAAATTTTCTAATTGTAGAAAATGTTTATCAACTCAAATAGTCAAGTAGCATCTCTTTTCAAACTTCCTAAGGAGTTCATGCTCCTCTTTTTTTTTGTTCGTTTGTTTGTTTTTTTGCGGTACGCGGGCCTCTCACTGTTGTGGCCTCTCCCGTTGCGGAGCACAGGCTCTGGATGCGCTCACGGGCCCAGCCGCTCTGCGGCATGTGGGATCTTCCCGGACCGGGACACGAACCCGTGTCCCCTGCATCAGCAGGCGGACTCTCAACCACTGCGCCACCAGGGAAGCCCTATGCTCCTCTTTTAATTGCAATTCATTGCCATGCTTTATAGTCCTCAGTCTCTGTCATCGTTTAGTAAGTTGCCCATGCGAAGGTAAATATTCTGTTTTTGAAAGCACAGTGTATAATTACACAACATCATAGCACCATCTGCAAGGTGCTGTGCCATTTTCTTTATTTCTGAAGGCAGCATCACATAGCTCATTTTACAGAGAGGGAACAGGCTGAAAGCAAGGAGCATTCCTTGGACTTCCAAGTTCCTGCTTAAAATACACGACTAGCTCTGACTAGTGCATACCACCGTCAGGCTCCTTCATACATCCTCTGGCCCAGCAGTCCCTTTGGAGACCAAGCCTTCGTCGTAACCCCTCACAGGGCCCCTACTGGCTTTCCTGTCAGTGATCTGTGAAACTTCCAATTCTCGCTCCTGCTCTGTACCACTCTCCTCTCCCTCCTTCGAATGGTTGATTCCTGAGGGAAAGAATATTTATGACTAACATCGCGTCTAGCCTTGAAGCGCAAATGTGGTCCCTGCCTTCAAGGTTAAGAATTAATTGGAAATATAACCCATTCAATCACTTATTATCGTAGTTGATTCAGGCTGCTATAGTACCACAGACTGGGGAGCTAACAAACAACAGAAATTTATTTCTCACTGTTCTGGAGGCTGGAAGTTTGAGATCACGATGCCAGCATGGTTGGGTGAGGGCTCCCCTCCAGGTCACAGACTTGTGTCCTCAGATAGCTGTGCCCTTGTGACATAATCACCTCCCAAAAGCCCCTCCCCCTAATATCACATAGGGCATTAGGATTCCAACATATGAATTTTGGGGGTCACAAACATTCAGACCGTAGCACTCATCAGATATTTCTTGAACTCCTCCTTTGGTTAGAGAACATAAGATTCCAGGTATAGGACAGTTTGGTGTGGTGGAAGATACCATACAATCAAGAGCTAAAATGGTGTAGTACACACTAAGAGTACTGTGTAGATTTGAGGGAATCAGGACATCCAATTAGCCAAAAGCTTAGATTCTCTTTCAAAATGGGTATATACTATTCCTGAAGACATTATGAAAGTGTGCTTTCTGGGAAACTTTGGTTTACCCTCTGGTGTTAGTCCTGTCAGCAGAGCTGGTAACTTTTATAACAATATTGTGAAAATGTCAAAACATTTCTAAAACCTGAAGTGAGAAAATTGAATAATGCCATAACTTGTTTACTCTCCAGACTTTGGTAAAACAGTGATTATAAATGATTTTCTTTAGATAAAGTCAGAAAAGTACTTTCCAGGACATGTAACTTCTGTTTATGCTGGGGCATCATCACCTTCCCTCATTACCTTGCCAAAACTTTTATGGCAGAAGACTGGTAAGAGGAGAAGCAATGACACAGGGGCAGTGCCGAGAACCACCAGAGCATCCACTGCGTTGGAGAAAATGGTTTTCTGTGTCAAGTCGTCGATTCTCCCTTCTCGTTTACTAACAACATTCTAACAACAACAAGCTTAGCCATTTTCTGTGTCTGAATGTCTGAAAACATTTGATAGCAATTGAGGGTTGGCTGCCATGATGTCACCATCAAAAAATCACAAGAGAGACTCTAATGACTTCTAAATATAATCTGCCAGTTCTGAACTTATTTTGCATGTTCGGGAAAAGCAGTTGGCATTATGTAGGAAAGGGATAATGAAAACCTGCCCTTGCCAGTCAGTCCCTGGCAGGACTTTGCTTTATAAACTTGTCATCTGTGATCTAGTCCTCAGTCTCATTTGTTCACTTCTGAGTCCAGAATTCAGGGGTTGGAGGAGGCACCTGAGAAACCAGTTGGTGGGAAGATTGTTCAGTCTTACCAGACAGGAAAGGGATGATCCTTTAGCTAATTCTCCCTAATAGAATCACTAAGAAAACCAATCTCCTGGAAGATGGCTTAGAAGTAAAGATTGAGTGGAACGGAAAACTTTAGTGGGTCACCAGAGCACTAAGCTCTGTTAGCTATTTAATGAGAATTTGGATCCAGTGGAGAACAGCTGGCAGGAAAGCTTAACTCATTCCCCTCCCTCTCCTTCCCAGATGCTGGACAGAGAGTAGCAATTGTAGCCCGTAGCTAGAAGACAACCCTTACAATACAGCATCTTTTAGAGTTTGCCCTTCTACTTTGGGTAAAACACCCTCTCTAAAATGAGTTAGCTCCTAGATACGGCAGAAAAGACAAAACTGGTTGGGTTTTGCCACTGCATGTAAGTCACCTTGGTTTGAAAAACTCTTACTCCTCTGCCCTCTGAGAATCACGTATGGAATGTGCAGTCGACTTCTAAACATAAAGCAACAGCTCTGTATGCTATCAATTTAGGAAAAGTAATTGGCACCATCTGTGAAAGGATTGGTTATGAGAGCCTGCCCTTCGTGGCCGGGTACTAGGAGACGCATGGAGCCGACACAAGCACAGAGGTTTCCAGGCCTCCTCCTGGAGAAGTATGCAGTTAACCTCTCCTCGGTTGTGGTTTGGTCCATCGTTGTATTCCTTTGCTTTTAAAAATTTTGAAATGCCCCTAAAATTGAGTATTTCTTACTCAGAGCTAATATTTAGTTGCTTGAGGAAGGACTTTGAAAAATCATGTATTTTTTTTAAAGTCGTGTATTTAATTTGTATATATGCCTCTGTATTTTGCCACAGGAATTTTAAGCCTTTGATAAGCTAACGTGTAATGTCTACCAGTATATTTTTGGTGTTGTTTTGTCCTTTTCAGAAACAAAATTGTTCTTATCTGCAATCCTTGGTATTCTATCACACCTGTATTTTTCTTGAAGAACCATCACCTACAGGATCTTTAAGGGCCTCAGAGCTGCTAGGAAGCAGACCCAACACCAAAGAAGTTTGGTGAAAACAGACTTGGCTAATGTAGAGTGTCAGATGATGATTTCTGACTTTAAAGAACGTTTCATTGGTTTTAGATGGTAGGCTCTGTGTTAAGGGTTGGGCTTTCTCTGGCATGTGATTTGACACGAGTTCCAAGAACAATCAGCTAGTATAGGGTTTGCAGAAGGAAGCATTGTGCTCCCTGTTAATCAGCTGTCCTCTGTTCCTCCCTCATCCCTCTTCTGATTTTAGTGGTGCTTCATGCCCCACCTCCAACCAAGATCAAACGGGAGCTGCACAGCCCCTCCTCTGAGCTGTCGTCCTGTAGCCATGAACAGGCTCTCGGTGCTAATTATGGAGAAAAGTGCCTCTACAACTATTGGTAAGTGGAGCCAGAGGAAGGCTGGCCAGGAAGTGGCCGGCACGCTGATTGCTTACAGTATTATTCAGCAGATGCTCAGTGCAGCGCACCCCATCTTTCGTGGCAGTGTAATGATCCTCTAGGTGTAGCCAGTCCAAATGCGGCTTTGTCTGCATGTAAAATGCAAAACTGTTAAATCGGCTCTCGGGGTGGGGGGGGGGGGC